TTTGATTCCCGCACGAGGCAGAAACAAATGGGCAAAGTTTCTTTCACCATATGCCCCTGTTACCTAGCAGTAAATAGGTACCTGGGAGTTAGTCAGCTGTCACGGGCTGCTTCCTGGGGGTGGAGGCCTGGTCGAGGACCGGGCCGCGGGGACACTAAAGCCCCGAAATCATCTCAAGATAACTCAAGATAACGTCCTTTTCAAATTACAACTGTAGTCACAGGTACTTCACCACTTGTGTCAGCGACAGGCAGCAGAATGTGTCTAATTACCCTGGAAACACAAACCGAAACTGTCTCTATTTTCCGCTTGTTACAACTTGTAATAAAGTTGTTACATCTTGGCTTAACGCGTTTATGACGTATTAGAACGTTTTTATAACTTGCTATATTGGTTGTTATAACTGGTTAGGTGTTAAAACTTGTACGAACGTTGTACCAACGTCGTAGTTTCGGTGTGTGTTTGGCGGGATATGATGCTTCTTCTCCCACTCTGTCAATTAACATTGGTGTTCCACAGGGTAGTATATTTGGTCCACTCCTCTTTCTCATTTACATCAATGATCTTCCAAATGCTTCTCAGCACCTGAAGCTAATTCTGGTTGATATTGACATAACTTTTTCTCCAATGCTAACCCATCTCTGGCTGACTTATTACAAACGTACTCTAACAGAGATAAAACATTTTACATATTGTTTGATAATAAGTTTTCCACTGAACTTAACCTAAGAGTCAACAATAACCACATTAAGAGCAGAGTTGATGACAGATTCCTTGGAGTTCACACAGATAAGAAGCTGGTTCTTCATGGCTATATACAAAATAAAAATTACAATTCCTAAAACAGTTGTCATTTTCTATCAGATCAGATACTGCGCATCTCGCTCTCCCTTGGTCAATCTTTATAATTATCTTATCAGTCCATATCTCACGTATCTGTGTCTGGGGATCTACAACCCTACATTTCCTTCGACCTTTAATGACTCAACAAAAGTCTTTAATTTGAACCAAAGCTGACTCCAGCCTCAGCACTCAGCCTCCTTACTAATATGAACTAATCCACTAGGGCCGTGACGAGGGCTCGAACCTACGTCCAGGAGGATCCCAGACGCTGCCTTAATCGATCGACTGAGCTTACTAATATCTTTATGTTAAAAATCGTCACTGCATATCCTCCCAAGCGCACTCTTATATTTATAAAACTCTGCAAAGCAATGCTAATCCTGATCTTAAGAGCTTCCTGGAGGGCTTTAACAGAGCTCATTAGTACCACACGAGAAAGAAATATCTTGTTGACATTCCCTAGAGTGAGACTAAACCAAAGCAGAAATGCTATGCAAATCAAGGGTCCCAAATTGTGGAATTACATCTACCAAGTGTGATTAAAAGCTGTAGGTCTCCCAACCAGTTTATAAGACTGTGAAATGTCTACTTAACATCATGTAACATATTTGACTCATCCAGAAGAGCTTTGCTGTGTTTTACTGTTACTGTAAATGTTATATGCTGAGTATGTAGTCTTATGCCTTTCATCAATATGACTCTATTATTGTATATCATTTGCTAAATTGTTTTGCCAAGTCGTCCATGTTGACCTACGTCTTGTTTATTATTGTTTACCCATTAAACCTTTCAATGTTTACTAGTTTATTTGTTTGAAAATCGTCTAGCAGGCTTGTCGTTTAGTATTAAGTCTTTACTTCTTATTATGCCTGAAAATAATTTAGTTATTATTTAACTTAATTTAATTTTGAGCGAGAAGCTTGGTGTATTAGAGCCTTTAGTTAATATGTAACCCTTGTACCTTCAGACATACCTTAGTATTTTATTTCTGTGTATACATATTTAATTAATAAATTATTATTATTGTTATCATTAATATTAAAAAAACATCCACCAGGGCAATGAAGTAACCTACTACCTTAGCACTGCAAGCCCCATATTGTCATTAATATATATCACGTTAATATTATTTCTCTGTGTTTTTGAAGTTGTCACATAAGGTGTGGGGAGCACTCGACCCTTCCACCCGAGTGCTTGCGGCTCTTATGGAAACACTTGGACCGGCTTCAGTAGGGTGGGGGAGGCCTGCAGATTTCCTGTGATTTCAGTAGAAGTTCGGTTGTATGACTTTTATCAGGTCGTGGTGGTCTAGTGGTAGCGTATGCGGCTTGGCAATGACGGGGTCGTAGGTTCGTTCCCACCTCATAGCCCTAGTGGATTTTTTCATTGATATATATATATATATATCACGTTCAATGTGACTTCTGTGTAATTATTATTATTATTATTATTTCGGCATCGTATCGGCTTCCATGACCATGTTCGCAGATCGAGGATCAATCTCATCCAGTCTTCTCATTTTCCGAGCTGTAGATCTCCTCGCAGACCTTCTCTCTCTATTCTATGGTATTGCGAATTATATTATTGAGTTGGAAAGTTAGGTGGCAACTTTCTATCTGTGGCGAGACACCAAGCAGCTCATTGATTTTGAATTAGGGCGGTGGAATGAGGCGGGGAGAGATGGTTCATGTGACAGATGTGTGTATGTGTTTGTGCCTGTGTATATAAGTGCGTATGTGTATTTATTATTTGTGCTTGCAGAATGGAGCGATTATCTCTTGGACCTCATCTTTCTAACCGATAAATTTTTCCTCTATTTCTTGTTTATATTTGTGTATATATATATAATATATATATATATATATAATATATATATATATATATATATATAATATATATATATATATATATATATACATATATATTAGTGTATTTTGGTAGCAGTCTTTCCTGTAGACATATATTATTAAATATGACCGAAAAAGTAATATTAATAATTCTAACACGAATTTTCTCAATGTTTCTTATATTTTTCTTCACTGTTGATGGTAACTGAAAAATCAATTCTCCAAAATTCATTTTTATTTCTAGTCTGACGCGACCCTTGAGCGCGTTTCGTAATAACTTATTACATTTTCAAAGACTTTAGTTTACACACACACAACTATAACTAAACAGAGTATAAACAGCTTCGATTTTATACCTGCATTTGGGTGAGGTGAAAACAAACTTTCAACACAAGACAGAACACGAAACAATGGGTATAATATTTTGTAAGTTAAAGGGAAGAATGGAAGTAACTGTAAAGGGCCTATTGGCCCATATTTCTTGGTGCTTCTATATTGGTGCGGAGTCTTGAAGTGGGTAGAATATAGTTGTGCATTAATTGGCTGTTGATTGCTGGTGTTGACTTCTTAATGTGTAGTGCCTCGCAGATATCTAGCCGCCTGCTATCGCTGTATCTATCGATGATTTCCGTGTTTTTTTGTTGATACTTCTCTGGTGATGGTCTGGTTGTGGGAAGAGATTATATGTTCCTTAATGGAGCCCTTGCCCAAACGTCTAATACTTTGTTTCTACACACAAGTTTGTGTGATCACACTATTAATTGGGATGGGGCGAAAAGCATTACCAATTGCAATGGCTTTGTGGAACGGAATTTAATTGAGTCTGTCCTAATTAGTCAATGTCCAAATCTTCTCAATGTTAGTACTGGTATGTACAAACTTGACGCAGTTTTAAGTTACAATATTGCACAACAGTTTAAGAAAAAACTATGATAGGGAGAATTACATTGTCTCATAACAATATTATATTTATATTTTATGTGGGTTCAATGAGGCTTTTTCTGTAATCTTTTATTCTTACCGCTTAAATCCTTCTGACCACTCTTAGCTAACCTTTTTCTGGTTAATTCTTTCCTCAGGAGATGGTGGTCAGGATCTAGTGTCTGCCTCCACTCTTTCTTTGTGATTTCTTTCAGTCCGGTGTTGACAAAGGCCCAGATCGGCCGAAACGTTCATCTTTCTTTCCCATTTCTCTGTGGATTTTCCGCATATATATATATATATATATATATATATATATATATATATATATATATATATATATATATATATATATATATATATATATATATATATATATATATATATATATATATATATATATATATATATATATAACAGTAATAAATCTGTGCAGTTATGTTAGTTACACCGATGGAAGTTGTGCGTAGTAAAAGTTACAGCAATGAAAACTACACTCACCATAACTATTACACTCCCAACACCGTCACCATAACTATTACACTCCCAACACCGTCACCATGACTATTACACTCCCAACACCGTCACCATAACTATTACACTCCCAACACCGTCACCATGACTATTACACTCCCAACACCGTCACCATAACTATTACACTCCCAACACCGTCACCATGACTATGACACTCCCAACACCGTCACCATGACTATTACACTCCCAACACCGTCACCATGACTATTACACTCCCAACACCGTCACCATGACTATTACACTCCCAACACCGTCACCATGACTATTACACTCCCAACACCGTCACCATAACTATTACACTCCCAACACCGTCACCATGACTATTACACTCCCAACACCGTCACCATGACTATTACACTCCCAACACCGTCACCATAACTATTACACTCCCAACATTGTTATGGTGACTATTGGAGTCAAAATGTCGTCTTCGTGACTGCTCCATTGCTCCAGTATGGCCATGTTCACTACTAAGCTGCCAGCATCTAACTCTTGACTACTTCTTGGCATTTTTATTATCAGTATTTCACTCGCAGCTTCGTCATGAGAACTTTAATCATCGTCACCATGACTAACATGAGGGTTGGGTTACTATAAGACTTTGTACCACCTGTACTCACTAAAACAAGAACGGTGCCGTCGAAGTGGTTGGGCACCATTCCTTCCCTCTGTCATATCCTAGTTACTTATCTCCCCTTTCATTTGCTAGTGCTGTATAGTCGTAATGCCTTAGCGCTTTCACCATCTGGGATATTTACCTGAGCCTCACTTTCCTGTTGTCTCGTCTTCTGAGTTGTTCCAACGGTCAGAAGTTTGAGACTCCTTCAGGACTCTTTACTTAGACCTCAGTCAAGGATGGATGAGTCTGTCAGGAACCCTGACTTGCCTGAAGGTTATGGGGAAGGGGTCCCGCCTTGGCTCATAGGTCATGATGGAGGATATGAGGCAGGGTCATCTGTGAAACGCAGGTATGCAGAGGTTGTTCCCCCGGGGTCACATGACCCAAGAGTCAAGCGAGCCAGGCAGGGAGTGGCGGGCTCAGTGCCCAGTGCCCTCGCAGAGAAGCTCGCTCGCATGAAGACCAAACTTCAGAAGGTGGAGAAGAACCCACGGAAGAAGGAACACCGGCAGAACCACGAAGAACAACGGCAGGCAAAGGTTAAGCATGGACAAGAAAAAGATAAGCAGCATGGACAAGAAAAAGATAAGCAGCACGGACAAGAAAAAGATAAGCAGCACGGACAAGAAAAAGATAAGCAGCACGGACAAGAAAAAGATAAGCAGCACGGACAAGAAAAAGATAAAAAGCATCAGCAGGAAAATAGTAAAGAACGAAAACAGAAAAAGGAACTAAAAGCCAAAATATTGAAATTCAACAAAATAAATTTGTTTCTTATAAATCATTGATGTTATTACTTTGGTAAAATAAAATATTTTATCTGAGTTATTTAACTCTTGTTTCCTTACTCTTTGATTTTTGAAGCTGAAAATTAAATGTGTAACAACTTAACAATTTGTCCTAAAATTATTGTTCTTGTCAAAAAATGATTACATTGGTGTGTAGTAAAGATGATTACAGTGATGATGTTTGTGCCTAATAAAGGTTACAATAATGAAAACTGCACAGTAAAGATGGTTAAATTAATAAAGGTAACATTAATGAAACCTGTACAGTAAAGATGGTTACAGTGATGCTGGTTGTTAAAGAGTGACGCCCACTAAATCATCCCCGGCCAGGATACGAACCCATGACAAAGCGCTCGCGAAACGCCAGAGATAAAATATTTAGCGCCAGTTACTGAAGGAGGAGCGTTTATACAAAGAAACATTTAACGAACTAATATAAAAAAAAAATCATGAAATGGGTCCGTTGTTAGCCACTCGCGTAGTAAGGAATTACGTTGAGAAACGATTTTCAAGTTGGAGACAATTGATAAATTAAGATTTATTTTTCAAATGGCGAGAAAAAACCTTGATTTCCGAGGTTTGTATTGTATAGAAAAAGAACAAATAAAATGTCTGTTCTTCAGGAAGTAGTCATTAATTTACCAAAGCGATTGTTGGCATTGGCAGTCGGAGAGGAGGTGTGGTAGTTAGAGAGAGAGAGAGAGAGAGAGAGAGAGAGAGAGAGAGAGAGAGAGAGAGAGAGGGAAGAGAGAGAGAGAGATAATTAGGACGCTCGTGCTAATTACTGCCCCTCATGACCGTTGAGAGAGTGAGAGCTGTTAGTGTGGTTAATGAAAACACTGAAAAATGGCCTTTTGTCTTGGTAATTGGTCAATATTGAGTGAGCGCTCATAAGCTGTACCCTCACTCTCTCTCTCTCTCTCTCTCTCTCTCTCTCTCTCTCTCTCTCTCTCTCTCTCTCTCTCTCTCT